GTCTTTCTCCTGGGGAACCACTGGGTGGGTCAAACTGGCAGCCTTTTGGTTAGCAGCTGAGCTCTTAACTGTTGTATCACCAAGACTCTTTCATTTTCAGGCTTTCATATTTCAGTTTTAGCAATATAAATCCTAAAACCAGTGGCTGTGAGTCAACTCTGACTCATGGTGACTCAACTTTTCAGTTAGCAGCTGAGCACAACTCAGGGGCTCCATCTAAATCCTACACTCAGGTTAAGGGAATTATTAGTCTTATTTTTTTCTATGATGATCAGACAACACGGGAGTTGAGCACTAGGTGTACTTTGTAAGAGTAATGTTGACAAACTGAAGTCTATAACTGAAAAGGGACAATTATGACATTGAAAGATGTGGAAATAATGTTATATGGGTGATTAAATAAACACTTGGAAATGGGAATGTTCAAAAGAAGCAATGAATTGCAGAAAAATTAAATAAGATCTCTACCTCACATCATACACAAAAACTAACTCCAGATGGGTCAAAGACTTAAATGTGAAACTTAAAACTAGAGTTCCTCAAGGAAAAAATAGGGACAAATCTGTTGTTGTTGTTGTTGTTGTTATGTGCCATCGAGTCGGCCCCGACTCATAGCGACCCCTCCTTGGGTTTTCGAGGCAGTATCACTACGGAAGTAGGATTGCCCAACCTTCCTTCCGAGGAGTGGCTGGTGGGTTTGAACCGCCAGCCGTCTGGTTAGCAGGCAAGTGTCTTAGCCACTATGCTACCAGAGCTCCTAGGGACAAATCTAGGGGCCCTAATTTATGGCATAAATAGACTGCCAAGGATAACCCAAAATGCAAACAAACAGCTGAAGATAAACTAGATGAATGGGACCTTCTAAAAATTAATTCTTATGTGCTTCAAAAGACTTCTCCAAAAGAGTCAAAAGAGAACCTACAGACTGGGAAAAAATATTTGGCAATGACTTATCTGACAAGGGACTTATCTCTAAAACTTTAGAAAACTCCAACACCTCAACAACAAAAAGATTAACAATCCAATTAAAAAATGAGCAGAAGACATAAATAGACATTCAGGTGGCCAGCAAACACATGACGAAATGCTCACAATCATCAGCCATCAGAGAGATGCAAATCAAAACAACAATGAGATACCATCTCACCCCAGCACTAATGGCAAAGTTCAACAAGACAGATAATAACAAATGCTGGCGAGGATGTGGAGAGATTGGAACACTCATACACTGCTGGTGGAACTGTCAAATGATGCAACCACTGTGGAAAGCAGTATGGCAATTCCTTAAAAAGCTGGAATTAGAAATTTGATTCAGCAATGCCATTACTAGGTATATATTCCAAAGAAGTGAGAGCCAGGAGAAGATATATGCACACCCATGTTCATTGCAGCCCTATTTACAATAGCAAAAAGATGAAAACAACCTAGGTGCCCATTAAGAGAAGAATGAATCACCAACAACTATGGTACATGCACACAATGGAATACTATGCAACACTAAAGAATAATGTAGAAACTGTAAAACACCACATAATGTGAATGAACTTGGAGGACATTATGCAATCACAGAAGGACAATTATAGTATTAGTTCATTATTGTAAAAAGTCAAGGTGTATATATGGAATGAAACATTCTTTGTTGGTTACCAGGAGTGGGAGGGGAGGGGAGGAGGGAACTCTGCCAAAAGGAAAAAAAAAAATGCATTGAACCATGTCACTTTAGTTTTGTGCATTTCACTGTATGTAAATTATATTTCAATAAACTGTATTTAAAAAAAGAAGAAGCAATGAAAAAATTGACTTCAAGTCTTGGAATATCTACCAGATACAAAAGAAATTAGACTTATTCAGTATAGTTGTTGTTTTGGTTCTCTAGTGTTGATACAACAGAAAATATCACAAGTGGATAGTTTGAACAAACAGGGATTATTCTCTTACAGTTTAGGAGGCTAGAAGTCTAAGGTCAAAGTGCCAGCTCTAGGGGCTGGGTGAAAGCCCCTCAACCTTGGCTTTTAGCTCTGCCTCTTACTTTTGGCCCACTGAAGCTGGAGGCTTCTCTTAACTCAGACAGCTGCTGGCTACTGAGGCTAACAAACCCAAGGTCCACAAGTAAAATGACCCAGGCCCAAAACTATCAAGCAACATGGTAAGCCACTAGTTCAAGTCCAGAAACAGTCCCAAGACCAGCAGACAACATGGCAGGCCATTGAGATGAAGATTCCACCAAATGCAGGATCCAGATGTGCCAAACGCTCCAGACCTTTCTCAAAGCTTCTCCTTATACACTGGAAGCAGACCACATCCCTACATAGCTCCTCAGCTGCTCACATAGATTCCACCATGGAGTTGATTACTTGTCTCATTATGGGGAATAAATACATCCAGTTGCCTAGCCACTCAAAACCAGGCCCAGCAAACTTGACATATAATCTTAACTACCACAATTGCAGAAGATTAAAGTATAAACTATAAACATAAGGCGAATTTTAAGAAAACAGATTGTCACAGATATTAAATAAGACAATATCAAAATCAAAACAACAACAACAAAAATAAAAACTTAGTGATCCCCACTGGGTTTCCAAGGCTGAAAATCTTTATAGAAGTAGATTGCCCATGGAGCAGCTGGGAGCTGGGGGGGGGGGGCGTTGAACCACCAACCTTGGGGTTAGCAGCCAAATGCTTTACCCACTATGTCACCAGAGCTCCTAAGATGATTCCAAAAAGGGCTATTTTTGAGGCTTTTGATTACAGAGTTTTTTAGAACAGAGACTAGATGAGCACTGGACAGAGATTTTATGGATTCCTGACAGGTGAGAAATTGGCCTCAAGGTTGCTAAGGTCCCTTTTGATTCTGAATGTTCTGTGATCCATTAGGAACCTCATTAACTGTACAAAGTTATAACAGAATGACACCTTTACAGTCTTTTGGAGCTTTGCCCCTTACCAAATGGTCCCTCTTAACTTTTTCTAGGTTCTCAGCAGTATTCTAGATTGAATTGGTCAATTATGTGATTTCTGAAAACTTGTTACTGAAATTCAAGAAGTTTGCTAAGCTTCCTAATAGTTCACACACTCAAAAAAATCTAAATCCATTACTGAAGTTTTCAAAAACATGATATCATAGGCAAGAATATACTTATTACTGAACAAGATTTTCCTTATATAAGTAAACTCTTCTTGGGTAGCTTCTTCTGTATGAAAATATATTTATATGTAAATTAAACTATACAAGCAAACGAAATCGATTGAGATGCTGATTACTTTTCTCCCCTGAGCTAAAGTATTGGTGTAGAATGTGCAGACCTGAGACTGTGAAGAACCTTTCTCATTTCACTAGCTTTTTTCCTTCATTCCTGTTGTCAGCATAACAATAATTTTAACATAACTGCAGTCAAAAACATTTAATGAACATCACTGAACCTGTAGCAGGGGTTCCCAGTTAAGAATAATGTGGGGACGATAAGAAGAACATAATCATGTTTTGTGTAGACATAATAGAAAAGGCTGTCCTACCACTAGGGAACTCACCGTATTGTTAGAGGAAACAATCGAGGAAGTATATAATGAATGTAGGATTGGTGAAGATACGAAGTGCTTTTAGTGGGAAATGGAGACATTATGCCTAACTACGGTAGACTCAGAACTTCATAAATAAAGGTGTTTTCCATCTTGTAACACAAACAACTGGTATTGGTACCTGTAAAGTAGTGGGGTTTTGTTTTTGTTTTTTTAAAAAATATTCAGAGGTACAAAATGAACTTTGCAATAAAAAATTGCTTTCTGCTTAACTTTTGCCAATTCCCCTGATGTGCACACGGAATCTTAGTATCACTTAACTGCAAAAGTCTCTGAGTCAAGTGCTATTTAATCTCATTCCTTAAACACCAACCATTAGCAGCCTTATCCACAATTAGCTGCTTGTGGTTACTACTAAATTGCTTCCTATAACTTATTTCGTAACGTATTGTTTCACAGCACAAACACTCTGGTAAGTGAGAGTGCTTGGAAGGACCAAAGGGGTTCTCTTTGTCATGTCTCTGCACAAAGATGTTCTTCAACTGCCCACTAGCTAATCCCGTGACCCCTCCCCCACTCCCTTTTGGAGCACCTTCAGTGCGAATTAGGGACCACCTTTTATACCAAATTAGATCCAGCAGAAGATAAAGAAGGCAGGGATTGTTCAGGCAAGATGCTCCCCCCACACACACACCCCAGAAGCGATGGAGAAGCACAGAGCGTCACTTAGCAGTTGGTGCGCGGTCGAGACCCCAGACGTCGTTCAGGTTGGGGAGCTCTTTGGGACTGCTGGAAAAGGGATGGCGGGAGGAGCGTTCCCTTTGTTGAGGGGTGTAGGAAGTAGGCGCAAGCCTGTTTCGCCGTTTTTAAGCCCCTTGGCATGCCCTGACCTGATCCAGAGGGAAACAACTGCTCTCAGGAATGTTCCGGGAGAAGATGGGAGATTGCTTCCCAGAGGAGGCCTGTGGGTG